GCAGTAGCGCCATCCGGTACTCCAGCGATCCGGCCACCGAGTCAGGACCAGACGGCGGCACTGCGACTTCCGTTGGGCGGGGGGCTTCTAGGAGACCTCGAATCCTAGGGCACGTCACGGGACGAAGGTGTTCACGCACAGTCATCCGGCTGGGTCGATCAAAAGAGACTGTCACCGAATACGGCCGCTGAACAAGCCAGGTAGAAGATCCTTCGCAAGCTCGACTCGTCCTCATTTTCATTCTAGTCTATTTATTGTGACGGATCTTCGTCCGTCCCAAGACCACGACCGCAATAGACGATACGGGATCTCCGGGAAACTCTAAGAATGGTGTGAGGAGACTAGTATAGTTGCCGTTCCGCTCCAGGACTCCTCGGCACCCGCGGGATCGAGCGAGGTGAGGGACGTGAGGAGGTCGAGGCAGGGGCCCTGTCTCCCCAAAACATCCGGGGAGTGGGACCCCTCGTCCCTCGGGGGGAATTCTGCGAGGTTACCGGGAGGACGCCCACCCGGAAAGCGGTACATGGACCAAATGAGAGTCTCCCAACCGGGTGGAGTGCTCCGACCGAGGAGGTTCTCCGGCAAGGGCCAGCGGTCTGGTGATCCCAGCGCCCCGATTCGGAGAGGATCGACCTGTTGAGGCCCGGAGGCGCCAAGAGATACAGGTGGCAGGCCTCGCGCGGTGGACAGGCCACAGCCACTGCCGAGGAAGCCGTGGCATTAGTTTAGATAGGTCGTCCTCCACCACCAAGGTCCGTCCCAGGGGGAGGCCCGCCGGCGGATTCCTCATCGGCCTCGCGAATTCCCCTACCACTCTCCGGGGACCCGGTGACAACCCCCGCGACCTCCAAGGTACCGAACGTTCCCCTCCCATGACTTGCCGGGTACGCCGAGGGGGAGAAATATTTCCGGATTTTCGGGTTGTGTAGGATTGTGCAGGTTTTCGAAAAGAGAGTCTGACCCGAGTGAGTGCCGCGAGTGGATGTGTGAAGAAGAGGACCGAGGGCGAGGTGCCGGTCGATTGCTTCAGTGAGACATTAGGGTTCCGTTCACGTCCGTTCCAGGGAACTCCAGGGTAAGTATGGAGTTCCATACGCTACCGTTCCGTTCCGTTTGCGATATCAGAGTCCCGGGGATCCCAATTTCGCGTCTATTGGTCGAGGCTCATGGCATTACGGACGCCTGCGTGTCCTATGGAAATCTGAGTACGATCACCGAAGGACCTCTTTTCCGGCCGCGATGTACGATCGCGTAAAAATGATGTACTAGAGTATCTGGGAATATCTGAGAATATACATCTTTCTTCATTTTTCGTTAAAGTGTAGCCTTTGTCACCTACTCCCTTAGGTCAGTTACGACCCCGACCCTAACTCTCCACAACTTGCCTCCTGAGCGACACGGGACATGCCGTCCGTGTCCTCTCTCGCCGCCCTTCTCTCCGTTTCGTGATATAATTTAGGTGATAAGTTTTGCAATTACGAGTTACGATTCTGCTTAGACCGGTTTGTTGGTTCCGGGGACCCAAAACTCAACTGGCGTCCCTTGGATAGTCGGAGAACGGGGAGGGAGGCGAGAGCGTGGAACCGACGAAGGTGTGCGAGATTTTTCAGATGGAGGAAAAATCGCGTTACAAATGGCGCCCAACGTGGGGCCCGAAGGTTTAGAACCCAAAAGGCCCGAACTTTTTTGAAACCCATCGAATTCTCAAAACCCAAAGACGCTGAGCTACGGTGACAAAGGCTACGATACGCTCCCGAAAATTTTGAATTTGAGAACTTAGAGATTTCGTTTGAACCAGAAAAAAAAACCTTATAGGATTCAGAGGGGTGTTTTTGCTTGAACCAACACTCTTCGGCTTACTTTCGCATCATGACCTGGTCAAAATCGTACTTTCACGATCATTATTATTAATAGATAGGACTTCTTGTTTTTGCCTAAGTCGAGCATCTTCGACTTACTTATTTTACCCTCTGACCGCTCCAAGCCTCTTACTTATTAGACCTTGCCTACCAAAGTTCTTGCCTAAGAGAAGAACTTTCGATCCCGCTGTTTTTGGACTCTGACCGATCTAAGGTCCTTATTTATAGGACCATGGTTCTTGTGAGCTTAGAAAAGGTGTTTTTACCTCGACTGGGGCTCTCCGGACTATTTACATCCAACGAGTTACCGAAGTACCCCCCAGTTGGAAGAAATTGTTATTCCCTCGGGAACGGGAATTACATGTTTCAATTCTACCGTAACGACCGTTGAAACCTTCCAGAACTTGAACATATTTACTATCGAATTTAATATAGAATATCACCCAGAGACCTTAGAGGGTACCCGCAGGTGTTAGGACTTCAGACAGTTCCAGGGGAATTATTCCGAATAAATTCCCAAAAGTTTCGGTGAACTGAGTATAGCTACCGGCTGAAGAAGTTCGAAAGTATTATCGCTAAATTCAGCAATAATAGAATAGGCTCCAGAAGCTTGTGCAAGGTCGTATTCGGCCGAACGCGGGATTAGCGTTTGTGCCCGGGTTCGCCGCGCGAGGTGTTTACATCCCGATGCCCGGGCTATCCACGCCATGCCCCCCAGGCCTCAGAGGTCCCTGCGAGCCAAACGAGGGACACCGAGGATTCCTCATTCGATAGTAGATTCTAAAAGTGTACGGACGTGAGTAAATCAGTGACCAGTGAAATAGCCGGAGGATTCCAGCCGAAAGCGAGGGAGTAAAAAGGACGGTTCTGCGAGCGGCGAGCTTTACCAGCCCTGAGACAGGGGGAAAGGAGTGGGAACGCAAGGGAGTTTCGGGGTAAGTCAAGGCCCTTCCGATAGTTGGTAGCATCCTAACCCAGCAAACCCTCCGAGTAGCCGCCCGGACCTTCATGCTTTACCCTTTCCGATACAATTTCACTTTTAATGAAAAACTTTTACCCTGTCAGCTACAGTTTCACTTTTAGTGAAAAACCTGTACCCTGTCCGCTACAATTTCACTTTTAGTGAAAAACTTTTACCCTTTCAGCTACAGTTTCACTTTTAGTGAAAACCCTTTACCCTGTCCGCTACAGTTTCACCTTTAGGTGAAAACCCTTACCCTTCCCGCTACAGTTTCACGGTTACGTGAAAAAACCTTTACCCTTCCTGCTACAGTTCCGCTTTTCAGAGAAAAACTATCCCTTCCTGCTACAGTTCCAGTATTCAGGGAAAACCCGTTCCCTGTTCTGCCCCTTCACGTTATAGTAATCTCCACCCTTACCCCTTTTGGCTGCCATAGCGGGTAGCGAAGACAAAGGGACTCCCGTTGAACCCGTACCCTATCGGGCGCTACTATCCTCATTTTACACCCCCAGTAGGCTTAGCCCGTTAAATCGGGACCGTCTTTCCCGATAAGACCCGTAGAGACCACGTGGGTAAGACCAGGGTTGGTAGACGAAGTGACTAGGATAACTCACAAGCCGCGCTCCGACCATGCCGGCTAAGCCCAGGTTAGCCGAAGTGGAGGAAGCAAAGCTACAGGTGCCCATAGCGGACACCGGGTCGCAGCACTTGGGCTTGTCCGAGGCCCGCGGGGGCGATCCAGGTATGTTCTCGCTCGCTACCGCCAGTACCTTGAAGGCTACCGCGAACGCTACCGATCTCTTCCCTAAAATTGGCGGCACAAAAATCCCGCTGGGGCTTAATCCCGATCGGGACGATAACCCCGAGACGGAAACCCAGGAAGCGACAGTGGAACGTGACCGGGCCAGATTGGAAACATCACGGCTTCAGGGCGACCTCCCACCCCACAGTTTGGGACGGGCGGGACGCGAGGAACCCCGACACCGCGAGACGACGGGGGAACCTCACCAGAGGGACCACCAACCCCAGTCGATCCGACAAAGGCTAATACCACCATCACATGCCTTCACCCCCGAAGACGACGAGGACTACCTCCTCGCCACGAGCGGACGCCCCATGTCCGCACTCGCAGTGATGCGCACTCTACTCTCCTGGAGGCTCAAGTTTACCGGAAGCCGCGGGGAGGACGCGGAGAACTTTATCTCCCGTATTGAGGAAGGGCGGAAGTTTCTGGCAATCTGAGACGCTGACCTGCTGAGAGCCTTGCCGTTCACCCTGGAGGGCAGCGCCCTGATATGGTATCGCGGACACGTTGGGTATTTCTCGACCTGGGAATCGGCCCGCCAAGCGATGCGCGACCGATCCGCAGACCCCGATTACCAGGTCGCTCTTCATGTAGAGATTTTAAGTCGTACACAAGGTGAGACGGAGTCCGTTTCGGAGTACATCGCCTGTATGAATGGCCTTTTCTCCCGTACCCAGCCGGCATGGTCCGAATGGGAGAGGGTGAGATACACTCATCGGAATATGTTACCAGCCTATCGGTTAGTGCTACCTCTGGTCGAACACCTAACGATGGACGCCCTTGAGGTTTCCGCGGCGCGACAGGAACGAGTGTTCCAGGGTGTGGCAAATTATAAGTCACCACTGGTACCGCACTACTCCTTGTGCCCGAGCTTCGCGTACGCCGGGCCTCGTACCCCCTTTGGTCGTCCGACTCCAATCCGCCGCACCCTAGCCAATATGACCCAAGTAACTGGCGAAGGGGATGACGAAGACGAGGAACTCATAAGGGACTCCGGGGACGTCCCCATCGAACAGTTCGAGGCCATGTTACCTCGGCGCGCCGCGCCCCGACCACCAACCCCTACGGCCAACGCACCACGAACGCCAAGACCCACATCGGCATCCCGACCACCCATAGCGCCAACCCCCATGACCACCTTACCGGGGCCACTAGCCACGATACCCACCCCACGAGAACCGGCCCAAAACCCTCGGCCTGGACCAACCCATGCGGGCGAGTTCAAGTGCTGGAATTGCGATAAAACGGCCCATCGACACCATCTATGCCCCGAACCGCAGAGGCTGTTCTGTTACCGTTGCCGCTGCCCAGGAGTAACCATCGCGAAGTGTCCATATTGCAACCCGGGAAACGCCACCCAGTGAGTCCGCTATCGATGGGCGGAATCATCAAAACGAACACATCGAGCCTTCCGAGTATGCAATCGTCACCGAGGGGAGAAACCGCCGACACGGCGGAATCCCCTAATTTGGCGGCAGAGCCACCGCTGGTAACCACCGTCGGCAGGGCGGAGCTTCCAGATGAGCTACAGGCGACATTGAGAAATGCGCACCCTGGGCCGTTCCACACTCCCATCCAGATCGAGGGCCAGTCTCTCGAAGCTCTAGTGGACTGTGGCACGAGCAAGTCCTTTCTCAGGCCCGGAACTATTGAACTAGTTACGCGGCTAGCGCTACCGACGTTCACCGTACCACCTCGACGAGTCCTCGTCGCGGACGGGCATGAACGTATCATCGATACAGCCTCAGTCCTCGAAGTGAGGCTTCAGGGTCGAACCGTTCGAGCCAGCTTTTTCTGGATGCCGGCCTGCATCCAAACGTGCGTGCTGGGCCTCGACTTCCTACGGGCGGCTCAGATGGTTATCGATTTCGCTATAGATACTTGGTACTTCCGAAGCGCTCCAGAGACCAAGCACATATTTACCCCCACACTCATAGCCTCGGGAATCCTTATGTGCAACGGACTACAGACTCTCGAGACCGACCAACAACATCGCCTGCAGGCCTTTCTGAACGATGTGCTCCCTGAGTCTTCCACTCGACCCGGGCAGACGGAGTTGACGAAACACCGGATCGAGATAATCGATAGTGCTCCGGTCCGCCAAAAGCATTATTCCGTGACCCCGGTTATTCTCGAATCCATGTGGAAGGAAGTAGATACTATGTTCGAGGACGACATTATCGAACCCTGTCAGAGCGAGTGGGCCAGCCCGGGCGTCATGGTGAAGAAACCCAACGGCAAGTGGCGCTTCTGCATCGACTTCTGGAAGGTACACGCAGTCACCAAGAAAGACGCCTACCTGCTCCCGAACATGACGACGATCCTAGACCAGCTACGCCAGGCGAACTACATCACCACCTTGGACTTGAGTCAGGCGTACTTCGAGATATGATTGGAAACGGGCTCCAGAGAAATTACCGCGTTCATCGTTCCAAGCCGGGGCTTGTTCCAGTTCAAAAGGATGCCGTATGGCTTCACCAACGCTCCAGCCACGTTCCAGAGACTTCTCGATAGACTAATCGGTCCAGAAATGTATCCACGCGTTTTCGTATATCTGGATGACATCATCATAGCCACTCAAACGTTTACGGACCATCTCGAGTGGCTCGGAAAAGTTCTGAGAAAGATCCGACAAGCCGGCCTTACCATCAATCGGGAAAAAAGCGAGTTCTGTTGCGAGGAGGTGCGTTACTTGGGGTTTCTAGTCAACAACCAGGGACTCCAGGTAGATCCAGAGAAGACCTCCGCCGTCCTCGACTTTCCCCCGCCGTGCAACTTGAAACAACTACGCCGATTTCTGGGGATGGCCTCGTGGTATCGGAGATTCATCCCAGAGTTCGCTACCGTCGCTGAACCCCTGACCAAGCTCACCAGAAAGTAAAGAGAATGGGAATGGGGTTGCCCCCAGCAACGCGCTCTAGACGAGTTAAAGCTCCAGTTAACGTCAGCGCCAACTTTGGCCTGCCCGGACTTCACTCTTCCGTTTACGCTCCAGACCGACGCTAGTAGTGTGGGCCTCGAAGCCGTCCTTACTCAGGCCCGCGACGGCGACCAAAGGGTAATCGCATACGCCAGTCGTGCCCTAACCGATGCCGAGAGAAAGTACACGGTCACGGAACAAGAGTATCTCGCGGTTATATGGGCCATTCGTAAATTCCGGTGTTACTTAGAGGGCTATGAGTTCACCGTGATCACGGACCGCAGCAGCTTGCGATAGCTCCATAACCTAAGGAACCCGACTGGAAGGTTGGCTCGATGGGCTCTGGAATTGCTAGAGTACACGTTCACGATCATACACCGCAAGGGCGCGCTTCATCACGTACCGGACGCTTTATCCCGAATTCCGGAAGAACCGTGCCATAATCTCACAGACCTCTCCACTACCGAGGACAAGTGGTACTTGCGCCGCTATCGAGACGTCTCCCGAGTTCCCGGACTGGGGCATTGTCGAAGGACAATTGTACTTTCACGGCCAACCCAGTACTCGGCGGACATCGAGGACCTGAACGCTTGGAAGAGGGTACTCCCTAGGGAAGCCCGCTTAGATGTTCTAGACCGGAGTCACTCCTCCCCGCAAGCAAGACATCCGGGAGTGGACAAAACCTATCGTCGACTCGCGCTCCAGTATTACTGGCCGAATATGCTCAAGGCCGTTACCATTCACGTACGTCGCTGCGAGGTGTGCCAGAGGAGTAAGGTGCCGCAGCACGCTCCAGCCGGTTTAATGGGGGATAGGATGGTCGAGGAACCTTGGACCATAATAGCCGCCGACATCATGGGCTCATTCCCACCTAGTAAAACGGGCCATGCCTATGTCCTGATAATTCAAGATCTGTTCACGAAATGGATTGAGGTCCACCCGCTCCGGAAGGCTACAGGCAAAAAAATTTGCGAAGCTCTAGAGGATCTCGTTATCAACCGATGGGGGGCCCCGCGAGTCCTTCTAACGGATAACGGGGCCGAATTCGTCAATAAGGATTTGAAAGCTCTAGCCGCACGCGTGGGACTGCAGCTGTCCACCACCCCTCCGTACTACCCACAAGCCAACCCAGTGGAAAGAGTGAACCGCGTCATCAAGACCATGATAATAAGCTACATTGTGGAAGACCACCGAAACTGGGACGCGCACTTCCACAGCTTCCGGTTTGCGTACAACACCTGCCACCACAGTTCCATCGATGCCACCCCCGCCTTTGCAAACATGGGCCGCGACCCTCGCGCCACGCGACCAGGAGGAAATGGTCCGGATACTAAGAGCGTAACCGTCATCCCGAGACCTTCCCCGGAGTGGCTAAAGAGGATGGAACACCTCAAGGTCTGGCGAGGTCGGATAGTGCAGGCTCTAGACGCCGCGTTCCAGCGCCAGTCGCATTACTATAACTTGCGACATCGAGATCACCGCTACAGAAAAGGGGACCTAGTGCTCAAGCGACAACACGTGTTGTGTTCGGCCGCGAAAAATCGCTCCGCCAAGCTGGCTACTCCGTTCCATGGACCATTCGTCGTTAGCAAGGCGCTATCACAAGTAGTTTACCTAACATGCGATCTCCAGGGGAACCCTTTAGGGAAGGTGGCCATAGAAGACCTCAAACCTTTCTACTCCTAAACCTTCCCGCCGGACCTTCCCTTTCGCTCCAGTCACTCCGTTCCGAACCGGACCGGGTTGAACCTGCTACAGTTACTTCTCTTTCAGAATTAGGACTGTTCTCGTACCGACGCCACCCCAGCCTCAGCCGATGGCCGATCTGGACGAGTGGGAGGACATCTCCGCCGATGAGGGGCTGGACCCGGAGCAGGAGGAGAAACTCCTCTCCCCGTCCTCGACCACCGAACAACCCGCCGAAGCCCTGAGCAATCCCGGGGACTTCGAGGTTGTAGATGGGGATAGGGATATCGGTCCGGGGAGTGACCCCCCCTCGACGGCCGAGCGGCCCGATGAAATCGAGCAGGACCCCGACTATTTCGAGGTTATCGACCTCGGGTCCGATAACGAGGACGGGGCCACCTATCGGACGGCCTATTCCGAGGACGACCGACAGACCCTGCCCGGAAGCCCAGGGCCAACGAATGGGATGCCGAGTCCACTCCCGCTGCCGACCTATCGGCTAGTTGACCCACCGGAGGGGGTTCCCGACCGACCCCGTCGCTACCGGACCATGCCGGAGCAAATCGACGAGGACCCGATGTTCGACCCAATACGGCCCTACTTAGGATCCCTCCTGTGGTTGGAAGGATACCAACTCGGGCTACTGGACGCCCTATCCGAAATGGCCTTCCGGATGGGCTACCAAGGCCATGGGGGACGCGGGTTAGCCAGACCCCTGCTGAACCGGACCGCTCCGGTCTATCGGTTCAACACCCGTGTGGGGGTACTGAACTCCTTTGTGGAAGCCGCAACCCAGACGGACCCGGGCGGCTCCTCGAGGGAGGCCACTACCCAAACCGATCTGGGCGGCCCCTCGGAAGCTGCCAGGCAGATGGAGATCCAGGAGCGGGGCCCCATCCCACCCCCGGGCGAGGCCGAGGCCAGCTCCAGCTCGATGGAGTGGACGCCCGCGGAAGGCCCAACTCCGGCCGCGAAGCCTCCTCTGGGTCTCGGACCCGTGCCGGCGACCATCACCGTGACCGTCCCGGAGCACAACCGCCCACCAGCACCGCCAGCAAAGAAGCCTCGTCCAGCCCGGCTGTGTTGGAACTACCGGAAGGCGGGGCACCGTTACACGCAGTGCCCGGAGGCACGGCAGACCTGCCAGAAGTGTGGCCGGAAGGGGGTCACGGTCAAGACGTGCCGGGCATGTGGCTCGGAATGGCGGCAGCAAGGGCCCTACCACCCCAGGTTCGGCACGAACGTACCCCGTGAAGTCTTCCCCCCTGCGCCAGCACCAACTCCGGCTCCAAGGTCGCGCCCGGCAACTTGGCCCACCACCGCCACTTCGGAGGACGACCTCAAGCCGTGGGAGTTCCGGCGTGTCCGGAAGCAAGCGCGGACAACACCACCAGGCACCCAATAAAGAAAGCTTTTCTGGCCTGGCCCTATTCTGACACGCGGTATATTTATTGCTCCAGATGGAGCGTCCTCCTGCTCCCGCCATTTCCGCTCTAGCCCAGGCCCTGGCTTGGATGCCCCAGAATTGCAGCTCCTGTCCCGGAACGCTACAGCCTCGAATTCGAGGGTAATATGGTCCACGCTCTAGGCCTCCAAAGGTGGAAAGACTTCCCCTCCATACAGTTTGTTCTCGAAGGGAAATGACCCTGACGCTCTGTTGCCTCTGGCCATTATCTACTAATTTTTGTTTCGTCCTGTCTCCTTTTCTTTAAATTCGGTTTTGTCACCTATATAGGCCAAAACCTGTTCGTAGGGGAGGAGAGTTGTGACGGATCTTCGTCCGTCCCAAGACCACGACCGCAATAGACGATACGGGATCTCCGGGAAACTCTAAGAATGGTGTGAGGAGACTAGTATAGTTGCCGTTCCGCTCCAGGACTCCTCGGCACCCGCGGGATCGAGNAGTTGTGCTCTACGGGGGTTAGTCTCACTTATTCTAAATTGAGGGAGGCGAGAGCGTGGATCGACGAAGGTGCGCGAGATTTTTCAGATGAAGGAAAAATCGCGTTACATTATTAACCCTTCATCTTCGATCAAACCCGAATTCTAATCATCATCGCGACTTCCATGCCTTGTTCCGTTTAACCGGATAGATTAAGTACCCATTAACTTCCTCCAACCAGCTGAGCTCGAATCTCAGCATCGCGAGACAAAACCACGCGTAGACCGCCATTAAGACATTCGTATTATATAGGGCAAGCCCCACCGCGTCTGAGACTGGGTCACTTAGCGGCCCCCCCATTGCTGGGGGGTTACTTTCCGATCCCCACCAGGCGAACCCACCGCCAAAGGGGCCCGAAGGCCCAGGACAGGCCGGGAAAAACCCGAATGCTCCGGACCGATCGTTCAAACCCCGGGGAGGCGCTTGCCGGGACAGGGCCTCCGCGACGCACTCCCCGAAGGGAGGCCGCTTGACCCCACCCGTTGCCCGCGGGGAACCTCGAGGAGGTCCCTCCCCTGCACCCGCGTGGTGCGAGCATTCGTGCAAGGCGCCAGCTGAGACGTAATGCTCCAGCGTGGTTTGACGAGCTTTCCAGGCTAGGTCGGGTGGGAACCCGATCCATCGGCCGAGTTGACCCGGCAAATATAGGATCGATTATCCCACCTATCGGCCCGTACTAGCTCGCCGGCCTTCTTATTACGGCCGGTAGGGCCGGCCCCCAACCCGCACCCGGATAAACCGAGGACACGGGACGGGTTACCCGGAGCACCTCCAGCCGTCCGGTCGAGAAGTATTCCTATGATGGGGGCCACCTTTCGCCGGTAACTCTAGGGGGAACAAGAGT